ATAAATAAATAAATCCTGAAAAAAAAGATAGCTAGATAAAAGATATGCTATACATACCTCACTTTAGAGAAAACTGCCAAACGGAGCAAAAGCATTAGGCTGAGAATACACTGGAGGCCTTGGTACCCTGGGAATGGTATCTCACTAACCAAAGGGTTATGTTGACCGTGTCCTATAAATAGGGAACTGCTGCTTCTAAGCTTTTAGTTTTGTCATTTATTTGCCTACTAACTTTTCCATCCATTTTTAATCCTAATTCCTTCCTTAGATAAGTGGCAGTCAAAGTCAAAGTTCTCAACATTGTAATCAAAGGTACAATACAAAAATCATGTAAGCTGATACCACTTTTAGACTCAGCGGCAGATCTGGAGTGAAAATAGGCCAGGAAGAAGTGGAACCACAAGTGGTACTCATTTAGCAAATCATAACTGAACTATGTGCAATACACTGTGCTCCATGTTGGGAAGTCAATGTATAAGTCAATCCTTTGCCAAGGAAGCAAAATGTCTAAAGGGTTTAAGTAAAAGGTAAACAATTATAGATACATGTGTTTGGAGAAAAGATAGAAGCACAAAAGAGGTGTACCAAACAGTATTGGGCAAACAGAACAATAAATCAACTTGGAGAAAGTGGCATTTGAATTGAAGTTAAAGAAAAGATTACACACAACAAAATTATTTGCTTTTATGGAAACTAGGTTATTGCAGAGCAATAATTACATATAATACCTCAGAGTTTAACTAAAGCACAAATCCCTGGATATAACTTGTTATGTTTCAGAATATGTCACTGACATAGTAAGACACAGGATTATGAAAATGAAATAGAAAAGGCAACATCAAGGTCTTCTATCAACTTTGTGTCTTCTACATACTGTTTCTTGAAAAAGCATTCAACAGATTTAATCTGTAAAACTTAGCATTTTTATAGCCAAGAAAAATCAGTATGAATTAGCTGTGTGATATATATTCATCCCTTGATATCTGCTAAATAATTTTCCAGGACTACCATAGGCACTGAAAGCCAAGGGTGCTCAAATCCTTCATATAAAATGGTGTAGTATTTGCATAAACCTACACATGTCTTTCCATATGTTTCAAATAGCATCTAGGTTGATAATAACTAATATAATGCAAATATTATCTAAATAGTTATACAATATTGTTTATGGAATACCATCAATAAGTCTATGCATGTTTATTACAGATCCAATCATTATAGCTCTAACTACATAATTCATATTCTCCACTTATAGTGGGCTGAATCCTTGGATGTAGAACTTTGAAACACAGAGTACCAATCATATGTTTAATTCTCTTCACATCAATATCTATATGACTTTATCTATGTTTACATTAATAGCCACATCAACATACATTTCCACACATAATTAAATATTAGATAAACATAAACAAAACCAGTCAGAAACAAAGGTAAGTAAGGACTTTTGATTTGGAGAATCAATCATTCCTTCTCTTCATTAAAGAAGAATAACAGCAAATAAAGGAAAGAGATAATCAGAAAATATCTGTTGGAATACCATAATAATTCTTATTTCAAACAAGATTGATGAACGAAGGCTAAAATTAGTGGGGGGAGGCATAAAAATGATATTTTTAGTCTTAAAATTTTAGTCTTAAAGTATCTCTCAGAAGATACTTATTAATACAAAGAAGAAAGCATTAACTTTACAGTGGAAAATCTGACAAAGCTTTTTAGAAAGAAATCTATTCAGAGACTGTATTCAAAGTAGATCACTAAAAACTTTCAAGCTTAACTTTTAATTGCTATGACTCTGGAGGGAGACAGTCCACAATATCAAGACTTTAAATAATCCTTTTGATCATACCTGAAGAAAATGTTCATTCCTTATTCTTTATAAAGCAATGGGTAGTAAAGTTACTACCATTTTAGAGGAAGAATTACCAACCTGAAGCTATTATAAGAGTCAAACAAGATCAGTCAATAGTGAAGAAAATTATGTCTGAGGATGATGTAAGAACAAATCTGTTATCATAAAACTGAACTCTACACATACAGACCAGTAAATCAACAATAGCAGTAAAGTAGTATTTCACAGCAGCCATTGATGATCTCAACCAAGTTTATGAGCTGGTAATTAGGCAATTATTAGGCCCAAGACAAGAACTCAATATTAAAACTCAATAAAAATAACAGAAACTTATCATTCCAAGAAAGTAACATTTTGATCAGAAGAGACTACAACAAATCTCTAAGGAAAAAAGGGCAAGCCTTCCCTAGGTGACCAATCACTGCTCCACCATTGAAGCAACCAAAAAAAAAAAAAATGGAACGCCCTCCCCACCCCCCCAAAAAATCAAGTAAAGCCACAATCAGCCCTCAATTACATACACAGAAGATGAATGTTACCCCCTTTTTCCTATCTGAGCTGCTGAATCACCAATGGTTTCTTTGACCTGACTTCATCCTATGTATAATACTCAACCACTTCAACTCTCCTTACCAATGATTGCCCCCAGCCATATCTATTTCAATAGATTTCCTTGCAAGAATTAAATAAACCCCCATATATCTTTCCCCTCCCTACCACTAGCTTCTTATCACAAGACTTGGTAGTAAGTCTCTACCTATAAGGTCACAATAAATTTTGGCTAGGACAGACCACATCTTGAACCTTGACATGCTAGATAGAGATTTAGGCAAATGTGCAACTGAAATAATGAAATCCAATTGTCAGACATTTTAGAAGTGTACCAAATATTGCTTAAAAGTTACAACAGTTTACAAAGGCAGTTGTCATATAGCTAAAGGACAAAGTAGACTAAGATTATATGTGATGAACTATATAGTAATTTAGATAATATTCTTCAATTCTCTTTCCTTTAACTCATATTATTAGAAGAAATTTGAGAGACTGTAAAGAGTCACAGGTTTTGTCCAAAGGAGAAAGGTTATACATATCAATGTAAGTATTTGTCATACTATACTTTTTTAAAGTAATGTTTGAAAACTAATAATGATCTGAAAACTTGCTTTATCATTATTAGTTTCAAAAGAAAACTCCAATCAAAAGCATACTTTTCTTGAATTTAAAAGTTTCCTTTAATGGGAAAATAATAGTATCCTATCATAAAAGGTAAGTGAGCTTCCTAGATGGGTTAATTTCACAGGCTTAAGAAAAGATTGTTTTGAATTATGAATGAAAAGGTATGAAAAATTAAATCTCTTCTCTCTGTCTCTATTTCTCTATTTATATATAAATATACTCACAATACAATAAGCATAATTTTAAATTTGTATAATTATAATACAATATACAAATTCATATAAAATACCTTAAATTCACATTATGTACATATTTCTTTTTCCAGTTTTAACTTTGCTACAAAGTTAAAAAACTAGTAAACTATACATTATCTTTAAAAATACAAATATAAAATATAATCCACTGGAATTTGCTAATGTTTTTGCTGCTTTCCAACTATAAGTCTTACTATTATCATTTTAAACCTTCAAAACTACCAGGAGACACAATAATGTCTTTCTGCTTTGGAAAAGAGAGAACTGAGAGACTCACAGAAATTAAAATGATTTACTTAAATGTCACTCTTAGTAGGCAGAACAAAACTTCTAATTCAGACTGTTAACTTACATTCTGGGCTTTTACTAAAAGGTATATTACAAAGCACTACACTAGGCTCTGAAAGGATTCTAAGAAACCAGCCTAGTTACTATCCTTACAAGGTTTGGGTGCATCAAAAATTCATGAGAACAACAGGTATGTATATTAAATGGTATGAAACAACCTGATTAAATCGAGCATGAATAGAATATATCATTAGCAGTGTGCTAGAGGTTTGTGGTTACTTTGGTGGTAGGAAAACTATGGTGACCACATTTGAGATAGTATAAATTAAAAAATAAATATATATCACTAGATACATATTTGACTTAGGGAATACAGACTATGCGGAACTACTGAGTCAGATAGCCATGGGCAGGTCTAAAATATCACGTATGGCTACATAACCAGTCTTCCCACAAATCTGTGTAATACTCAAGATCAATCCTTATTTCATGCCTTAGAACTCCTCTATATCTCATGGAATTATAATAAGGAAGCTGTAAATGGATTACAGGAATAATAATGAATGCTTCTACTTCAATGGTGGTTAGGAATTTCAATTACAATCAATTAAAAGAACTTACTTCGAGAGAGATTCTCTAGGGCTTTTCCCAGTTTCTTGCTCTCTTGAAGGATGTGGTTCAATTCATCAAAATCACGGTTTCCTGATTTATTCCTCCAGTTCCATTTAGGATGCTCTACTGACCTTGGCACTATGTTTAAAAAAAATGATTATTTCATAAGCATGCTACTTAACGATACAAACTTCTATTCAGCATTATGTGAAAGATTGAATCAAGATCAATGCATAGAATAAAAAAGGCTTGTCTTGAAGATAGTTTTCTTGTGAACATAGAGAGGGAAGGTTATAAAAGTTGGGTTTTAAGAAAAGTAAACTTACTGAACAAGGGAAGTGTGATAGGATAATGGAAAAAAGAAAATTCAGGAATTGATATAAAATATTTCAATGGGGAAAACATGCAAAGTATAGCTGTATTGTGTTCATTTAAAAATGTAACAGAGATAGGTAATATTTTAAAGATATTTTTGACATGTCTTCAGATAAAACACAGAAGATTTAATATATGTATTTACCATTAGTTCCTCCCCCACCGAGTTCCCACTAAAATTACATTACAGGTTTTTGTTTTTGTTAAGTAAGAAGAGAAGACATTCTTGGGCAAGAAATAGCAACTTTGTTCCTGAAAGATGCAAAATGTATTGATGGGTGGAAACTGTATTTAGGAAGGTAGAGATTACTGAAACCTAAGTCCCTAGAGAGCGAAAGCAAGAAAATGAAAAATGAAAGCATCAACTAAAGAAGAACAATGTCAAACTAAAAAAGAAATTAAGAGATTAGTTGTTTCTCAGATTGAAAGAGTCTATTAACACTTTAGTACAATTAAAAGCATATTATCACAAAATTTTAAAAGAGTAGCAATAAAGATCTGCATAGCTTTCAGGTACAAAAATAGCAAATAAATTTGATATTCAATTTATCAATAGTGACACTTGGTGAGAGAAAACATGGGATAAATTCCCTCAAAATTCTAATTGAAGATTCCTTTTAATTGAATTTCATATCAAACAGGAAAACAATAAGATATTTATAAGAACTCAGAAGAATATCTCACTCAGAGTCTTTTTCAGAAAGCCCATAGTAGAGGTATTCTGCCACCATGAGTACATACACCCCATGGTGGAGTGACCTGAAGCTCAGGAAATAGGTGACCTTCATAAGAAAAAGAAAGAAGTATCCTCAGGATGACAGCAAAGGACCAAGGTTGTAGCAAGATGAAAGAGGATCCTAAATATTTTCAGTGAAATAAATTATAAAATATTAAGCAAAATAAGATAAAAGCTAGGATTACAAGGCCCTCCCTGGTGGCGCAGCGGGTTAAAGCACAGCACTGAGAATCTGAAGCCACTTCCGTATGAGTTCGATTCCCGCCTGCCGCCTGCCCCGGAGGAGACCACATGGCGAGCCAGACCTCTCCTGACCCGCCCGCTGCTCCCCTCAGCAGTGTACTTCGTCGATCTGCCTGTTCTGCTCCCCACTCTGTCTCTGGTGAAGCCTCTCACCGCCCCTGAGCCTCTGGCCTGTACCCCAGTTCTGTATGAATAAATAAATCTTTAAAAAAAAAAAAAAAAAAAAAAAGCTAGGATTACATAATGTATTTGGTTAGACTGATAGCAACTGATTCTTGTAGTGTTTGGTAAAATACTAAATTAGTGACCAATAAGCAGAAATCAAAACAGAAAAATAAGGCAATTATTTACTGCAGAAACAAACACTAGACAACACTAGTCCATGTGAAAATGCTAATTAATATAGACATAATAATATCAACTTTAGTGCATATATTCAACAGATATTTGAAATAAGTGCATGACCATACTGTGAGCATCAGATGGATATGGGTTTAAAACACAAAGTCATAGACATATCAAGAGATATTTGAATTTCAAAAAATAAAAGTGAATTGTCTAAGTCAATTATATGTTTAGATATGTAGAGCTAAGAACCAAAAGAAACAACTGAAAGAGCTAAAAGTCACTTCATATTAAAAGTAGATTCACATTAAAAGTAGAACAGAGGAAAGACACTACTGTAATACTACTTTCCTTAGTAAGCCATATATATATTTGTTCTGATAAAATAGTTTTTTTTAATTATTTACATGGTTAAGTTATAGGAAATGCAATATCAAGTATTTAAATATATATATCTGCAATTTTGAAAACAACCAACAATATCTACTAAAATAAAAAATAAAACTTTTTGATCCAGCATCCTCATGTCTGACAAACTACACACACACACATGCACACATGCACACACACACACATACAAGATTGTTTATTTGAGCAGAAAATGTAAGGTATTTACTTGTCTATTTGAACAGTTTGTAGTGGCAAAACTCTAAAAATAAATGTCTTTCATTAGGGAAATAAGTAAATTATGGTATCATCACACTATGTTATAGTATGCATTCATTACAAAGTATAACTGAGGTCTAAGTTTATTAGCATGAATATGTTTCCAACAGGCACTTTAAAATAAATAAAATGAGCTGCTTTAGAAAGTGTACAGATTAAAACCTCCCTTTAAAATCATAAACAAAACAAGGAGGCCCACTATGACCTCTTCTGTAAAACGTACTATTATAAGTTAAAGGTGAAGCAATCAGACACAAGAAAATAGAATGAAATTAGGTTGGAAAAGAAGTGAAACTACCATTTATCTATACATAATATATTAGTTTTCTATAAATATGTATATTTACATACATATACACACACATATACACAATATTATATACATATACATATGGATGTGTATATGTATACATATATATACGTGTGTATGTGTATATATAGGAAACCATGAAGACTCCACCAAAAGAAAAATCTACTAGAAACAATAAATGAATACAACAGAGTGGCAGGTTATACAACCAACATACAAAAAAAAAAAAAACTGTGTTTATATATACTAACAGCAATTATAACAAAAACAATAAAGAAAATAATTCCATTAATATAAAATAAAAAAGAATCAAATATCTTGGAATTAACTAACCATAAGGTGTAGGATTTATACAATGAAATCTATGTAACGTTGCTAAAAGATATAGATCATAACAGAAGGAGATGAAGGAGATGGAAAAATAATCCAAGATAATGAATAACCAAAATCTAGATATAATTTTAATACAATCCCCATCAAAGTACCAACAATATTACTCAGTGAAATCAAACACAAACTATTAAAAATTGTATGTAACTATAATAGCCCCCAAATAGCTAAAGCAATCCTGAGAAAAAAAGAATAAGTGTAGGTAACACATAACCTGACTTTAAACTATATTATAAAGTAGCAGTAACCAAAACAAGAAAATATTGGAATTAAAAAATAGACTCATAGCTCAATGAAACAGAATTGAAAGCTCAGAAATAAATCCATGTATATAGCAATACTTAATTTATGGTAAAGAAGCTATGAACATATAATGGAGAAAGTCTCGTTAACAAATAGTGTTGGGAAAACAAGACAGGCATATGTAAAAAATAATGTTGGGTAACTCTAACCCCATGCACAAAAATAAACTGAAAGTGTACTTATGATTTAGATAGAAGACCTACAACAATAAAATGTATAAACGAAATACTGGTAATAGACTTACTCAAATTAGTGCTAAAGATGTCTTGGAGATTCAATCCTTACAACAAGACATAAAAGTTAACAACTAAGAGTACCTCAAATTAAAGTCTTTACACAGTGAAATAAAATATAAGTAGTTTAAAAGGGCATTTCACTGAATGGGAGAAAACATTCATTATACAGTTGACAAGGGGTTAATCCAAGCTATACAAAAAACTTGTTCAATTTAACAGCAATAACAAAAAGTAATGAATGGACAGCAGTTCTGAGGAGACAATTCACAAGAGAAGATAACCAGAAAGCCAATAATACATGGGAAAATGATCATCATCACTTTTGATGAAGAAGATGCAAGTCAAATCACAAATTATCATCTCACATCAATGAAACTGGTACATATTTGAAAGGCCTCCAGTAAGTACTACAAGGAGGGAGATAGAAGAACTTAATATATTAATGTATTGTTGGTGGGAATGTGAAGTGGAACAACTGCTTCAGAAAGTAATCTGGATTTACCTTTTAGAAATAAAAGTGGAAATACTCTTGAACATCCATCAGAAGAACATGGACTCATCAACTGAAAAAAATTATATGTTCTACAATATTTATTACAGCATTATTTATAGTAGTCAGGACATCAGACTTCCTAAGTCCAATGGCAAAGGATTAGATAAAAAAGATGTAGTAAACCCACACAATGGAATAATATTCAGCCATAATAAAGGATGAAATACTTCAATTTAATGCAAAATAGAATTATACAGAGTAAAGCAAATCAGAATGACAATTATTTAACGTAACAAGCAATTAGCCAAAATAAAAACCTATCAAAATAGTGGGCAATAGTAAAATAAGTGAAGTTTCTGGTGTTAAAAGGGAGGAAGAGAGAAGAAAGGATCAAACAGGCACAAGGGATGATGGCAGGAACAAAAATGTTAAATCATCGGAATGCTATAAAGAAAAAACTATTATAACCACAATACAGAGTTTTAAGAAACAGAAAATAAAGTGCTGGAAATTATCATAAGATTATAAGTAGGCAAGAAAGACCTATCTGAGAAGTTAGGTTTGGGAGGAGATGAAAAGAGAGGGGATATGGTGGCAAAGGGAGACAGACATCCTTCTGGCACTCTTTCCAGTGTTTGACTCAGTCATGGATGCAATTTCATCACTATGTCTTATAAAATGCAAATACCTTTGCAAAGGGTTACACTAGAAACTAGTAGTTCTTCACTCTAGTGCATGAACATCACCTAGAGATATTTTACAAAACACTAATGACAGTTTCCTGGAGAATCTAAATCAAATTGATCTGGGGTAGACCCCGGGGCAATGGTTATGTTTGTTTCGTTGTTGAAAGTTCCCTTGGGAGATTTGATTGTAGTACCAAGATGAGAACCATCACCTATTAGCCTAATAGTACCCTTCTCAGGTATTAAAATCAGCTGGGAAGCTATTAACACAGAGCACCACCTTCTGAGATTCTGATTAATTATTCTGAGGTAGAGCTCACATACATCTAGTACAGGGAGGTGGGGGACTGAACCAGCTGCTATTTCTAATAAGCATCCAGGACTGAGAACCACTTGAAATAGAAAAGTTTCTTTTGGCGAGGAATGGTCTAAAGGGGAAAGACAGAGAGGGTACACTGTGCTAGTGAATTGTAAGGGGTTGCAAAAATATTTCAGCTAGTTTGAAATGTCTTGCCCCAAGTAATTACAACTGATTCTGACAGACTATAACTCCTATATTTATGAAATTCAAAGGCAAGAATGAGTATGCTAAACTCAAGATTTGTCAGACAGCATCTTGGTCTTACTCTGTAACCCTCTCAAGGAAACCTAGAAGAATTATCTTTGTGGGCCCACAGTATTATAGTTTGATCACATCCACCCACAAATCTGCCATGGTACCCCTTAATATTAACTCTAACATAGTGCCCTGGAATCTCATTGATCATTTGAGGGAAACTTTTATTAAAGACATTGCCTATATCTCCATTTGAGAATTCAGCTTTTAACTGTAATGACTGTTCATACAAAATTTGGAATACCTTTGATTGTATACCCTCTGGACACATGGGCACTCCATTATGTATGACAGAACACAAATCCAGTGATCTTGTTAGACACCTTCCAAAGAATTAGACTACAAATAACACTTCTAAACTCTATACAATGTGACAAGATTTTTCATTTTAATTACGGCTATCAACAAGCTTTTTTTATTTCTAAACATGCCTTCTCTTTTATTCTTACTTCTGAATTACAACCAAAATACCTACAGGATGTGACAAAATTCTTGTAATTGAGTTGAAGTCCATCAATTAAATATTTATTTTACTCCAAAGAGGCAGGGGTGTTACCACAAGATGGTAATGAAGGAGGTTCCTTGCTATACTCCCAATAGTCAACAAGAGATACTACATTTAGGGTGTGCCCTGACTAGGGTGAGAATGAAACACTCCTAGTATCAGAAACAAGCATAAGAAAATAATAATGTGTATGGTTTAAAGCTAGTTTTGAAATGGAAATTAATCTAAGTGTACTGAGGAAGAAGAGGACTGATAAGAGACTATCTTTATACACGTTTGTATTTTTAATTGCAAAATAAGTATATACTATTTGTATAATTTAAGTAAATCTAATTTTTTTTTAAATGAAATACAAGGCTCTCCCTGGTGGCACAACAGATTAAAGCTCTCAGAAGCCACTGCAGCACTAGTTCAATCCCAGGCCAGGGAGCTGACCCACATGGCGTGGCAGAACCCTTCTGCCCACCTGCTACTCCTCTCAGCAGTGTATTTCAGTAGATCTGCTTATTCTGTTCCCCACTCTGTCTCTGATGAATCCTTTCTCCCACCGCACCTCTGGCCTGTACCCCAGTACTGTAAGCATAAAATAAAAATAACTCTTTTTAAAAAATAAAATACAGCTTCCTCTGTATTCCTTTGCTTAAGGTATACTGGGATGCCAATGTCAGCTAACATCTGGTTCAAGCAGCGAAGAGTAGATGCAGTTCATGATCAAGAGTTCTAGAAAACACAGACATTATGCTAATAACCCACAGATCCTTCCGTGAGACATCACTGGGGACAAGTCCAGGCACAGGGTAGAGAAACTCAGAAGAGGATGTGATAAAACTACAAAACATTGATTGGCACTCTTGTAAAACTTCTTTGAATAGTATCTATCATCATATTATCTTGTTTTCCTGTAAAGTACCATATGATATCAAGATATCACTCTCTTTTTAATTTACAAAATAGGAAGATATATTTTTGAAAAACAGACCCAATCAAAAACTTCAGGAAATTACCAACATGATCCATCTGTACAGATCTGGCAAAACTTTTAACACCTATAAACATCCACCAGGGGTAAGCACAGGAGAGACCAGCAGATGAACAGCCCAGTCCACCCAACAAATGATGATAAACTGTAAACTGTTAATTTCTTAAGCCACTGAATTTAGAGGAAGTTATATATACAACACTATAAAGAAATGACTGACAAACAAGTACTTTCCTTCACAGCTTTCAAGAACTTAGGCGAATCCCCTTTTGTCTTTTTTTAGCTTGTGAAAATTTGTTAGTTAGTCAATGCCCAACTTATCATGGGAACCAAATCTAAGACAACCAAAGCTACAGTAAAATCATGTCCTATCTAATCAACTATGCTGGGTAATTTCAAAAGATATTTTGATAAATAATGGAAGGAGATGTGGGAAATCATTAGCCCAGAATATAGACTCTAACTGGTTTTGATTGATTACTTAGGTCATACTTGATCTTAAAACTCATTGCTTCAGGTTTTGATTGATTACTTAGGTCATACTTGATCTTAAAACTCATTGCCTCAGTTTAAAACATTTTTAAAATAGCCTCAAAAAAATTAATACAACAGTATCAACGACACAAACTGAATCACATGAAGTGACAGAATCTGAGATTAGTGCTAATCTGTGACATCACTAGGGTAAAACTCACCTACCTCCACCAGGAGCCTGACCACAGCAACACATCCATAATGTGGACAATAAAGTTTGTTTCACAAACTTATTTTGAAAAACTCTTTTTTATTATCAATTAAATTCTGTTGTATAGTCTCTACCAATAGCCTTTATGTATGGGCTAAAAAAATGAATGTAGTATTTTCTCTGAATAAATTTTGAGATACTGTTTATCTCATTCTTTTGAATCAATACATTTGAATTACTTAAATTTTCAACTGTTTCTAAAATGTTATCAATGTTAGTGTTTTAATTTGAAGGTTACTCCCAAGTATTACACTTTCATTTAAAATATGCCAGAAAATAGAGGGCTTGAACAGCAGTATAAGCCATTATATTTAACAGACGTATACAGAAATTCAATAAAGCAACAATAGTGTACACATTCTTCTCAGATGCACATGGACTCCTGTACGTCAGACCAAAGAAAAAGTCTAAGTAACTTTTAAGACGTTAACATCATAAAAGTATCTTCTCTGGCCACAACTAATGAAACTAAACACACAAAGCAAAAGAAAAGCTAGAAAATTCACAACAAATTTACAGAAATTTTTAAAGGATTATAAGAAAATATTAAATAATTAGATGCCAATAAGCACAGATAAAGGGGAAAATAATGGAGAAACAACTGAACGTGACCCAAATGTAAAGACTTATTGACAAGACAATGAAAAATCACAACAAAGACAAACCAAGGAAAACATGGCTTCAGTAGTGAATTCTACCAAATATTTTAAGAATTAACACCTAACCCTCTTAACCTCTTTCAAAAACATAGAAAATTACCCTCACAAAAAACAAAGGTAACACAACAATATTCTGTATCATCCTATATTATCTCTTGAATAAAAAAACCTCAATACCAAGTTAGATTTTTTCTACAAATGCAAAAATTATTTAACATAAAAAGTTAATCAACATTAAACAATTGTTCATAGAATAAAGGGAAACAACACATGATAGCATTAATATTGAAAAGGCTTTTGAAAAAAATCTAACAGTTAAAAAAAAATACCCAATAAAACAGGAGTGAAAAGGAATAATAAGTAGAATTTCAGAAACATCAGGGATAAAGGATAATTTAAAATTTTGTTAAATGCTCTGCATATAAATCTCCTTTGCTTGTCCCTTTAACACATTTAACTTGCTTTCATGTATTTCATTAAATGTAAGGTTGCTGTTGTTTTAAAGGGAATACAATGCTGGAACTGGCCATAACAAGTAAGGGTGAAACTCTAGACTATTTGGGAATTGAGCTCACTCACACAGCTACAATATATGAATGAATGGCCAAAGTTAATGATGAAAGAAAAAAGTGAAATTCATTACGCTTAATAAACAGAAACAATTTAAAAATCTGGCTTCAATTCTTACCTTTTCTTCACTTAGCTAATAAAATAGTCTTACATACATTAAGTAACACGTGAATGACAAACTTCCTTACATGATTTAGATTCTGGTGATGGTGGAGAAATATTAGACACAGCAAGGTCACTTTTTGACTTCTTAGGCTTCTTTGCATTTAATTGCCAAGGTTTATCATAGTTTCTGAAATCTCTTCTTGTTCCTTTATGTTCTGTTAAAACAAATACATATACATATAGACTCAATGGTAAATGATTTCATGATCAATCAAAAACACATATCCATGAAGGCATTATATACACCAAGAAAAATTCATGGATTAGTTAACATAAAAAATAATGCAAATATTTAAAAATATGTCATGCATAATTTCTTATGTAAGTCAAGTTTTAAATTTAATGAGTTTCTATATTAATATAACTAAGGTCATATTATACTTTAAAGACCTTCTAAGGTATGAATTACTATTGTTTTAACTGAGTGTAATGTAGTAAAGAATTGTATTCTTTTGTAAATAAAAGAAACAAAATACTGAAAGATTTTGGAATTATTCTACCTCAAAAGTGCTACTCTTAAAAATCACAATTTCCGGCCCTCCCTGGTGGCGCAGCGAGTTAAAGCACTGCACTGAGAAGCTAAAGCCACTTCCGCATGAGTTTGATTCCCGCCTGCCCCGGAGGAGACCACATGGCTTGGCAGACCTCTCCTGACCTGCCCACTGCTCCCCTCAGCAGTGTACTTCGTTGATCTGCCTGTTCTGCTCCCCACTCTGTCTCTGGTGAATCCTCTCACCCTCCACATCTCTGGCCTGTACCCCAGTTCTGTATGAATAAATAATTCTTTAAAAAAAAAATCACAATTTCCAACCTCTGTGTCTTATATATTCTCACTACACCTGTATTTACACTGGCCTCCTAATGAAATTTAGCTGTTTCCTTTACCTATCCACACCTTTCCTAACCTTGCTCTCTACTCTCTCATACCAGACTGTATGCTTAATTACCTCAAAACATGTTCACAAATGTCCTGAATTCTGCAAAACTTCTTCCCTCTTCCATCCTCAACATGGCACAACCACAATTTTTTTCAATAATAAAAGTTTATTTTTACAGTATTTTGTGCATTTTTCCATCTCAGTTGTAATCCCTGTGGGCTTCCCATCACCAAATGAACTGCATGCCAGTGCATTTCCCTTCCCCCATTGTTTTTGATCCCATTCCCCCCTCCACCCCCATAAAATTTCTCTGATATATAGCTGTTCATTATTATTATTATTTTCTCCCCTGGTCTGTTATACTCCTGCTATGAGTGAAACCATCCAGTATTTTCCCTTTTCTTTCTGGCTTATTTCCCTAAGCATGATCTTTTCCAGTTCCATCCATGTTGCTGAAAAAGGCATGTGTTTAATTTTTTTTTTTTGACAGCCACAATTTTTCATCAGTCTTTCAAATTTATTTCTCTCTTCCCCACCTAGTATACTTTGGGGCACAAGTAGAGAAAAAACACAGTCTTATGATTTACTCATGTCTTCAAATTCAGATAAATCCCAGACCTGATTAATCATATATTTTATTTTCTTTTGCCAACTCTCTTTTCATTTCATTTTTCTTGATGACTTTTCACAATTGTCATCACTCATTTTAATGTCCCCTACCCAATTAACAACTATTTTGTCAACAATCTCACAGCTAAATAAATTTTAAGCTACAGATATAATCTTATTTGCTGTCTCCCAGCTTACTTCCTACTTTATCTATAGATCTGACTACCAGCTCTTTTATATGTTCTCATTCTTAAGTATTACAATATATTCAAATTCAAGAATATTTTATGACAAATATTAACATATGGTTGAAGTCACAGATGAATACAGATTTACTTATTATAATTACAAAGACTTTTGCAAATTAAATGTACCAAATGAACTGTAATTTTTTTTTTTTTCATTTACCTTCACTTTCTGCCCAGAGGGCTGCAGATCCAGAGAAAGTTCTTTGAAGTTGTCCACGATTTCCTTGTTTGGACTGAAGATGGTCAATGAGAAATGGGATTGGCTGGTCAGGTGTCTCAGTTATTAATTTGGTCATTAATTCCTAAAGGCAGAATAAATATATACTTATACCATGTTCATCATCATCATCACCATAATAAAAACAATGGTAATAATAGTAATATAAAATATATAGCACTGTTGATAGGTTCTGCTCTAATTGTTTTATGTATAGCAACTAATTTAATCCTTATTAGCAATCTTTCTATGCAAGTATAAATTATTGTTCTAATTTTGAAGAAACCGAATTGCAGAGAAGTAAACTATCTCTGCTATACAGCTAATGCACAGTAAAACAAATACATTATATATATATATATTTTTATATGGTTTTTTTATTCTACTTGACCAAAAGCATACTGAACTTTAGCCTAAATTCATTTAATCTAAATTTTAACCTCAAAATTTTAAAGTTTAGATGTAAGATGACATACATTATATTTTTTTTTAAAGATTTATTTATTTGTGCATACAGAACTGGGGTACAGGCCAGAGGCTCAAGTGCAGTGAGAAGCTTCACCAGAGACAGAGCGGGGAACAAAACAGGCAGATGGACAAAGTACACTGCTGAGGGGAGCAGCGGACAGGTCAGGAGAGGTCTGCCACGCCATGTGGTCTCCTCCGGGGCAGGTAGGAATCAAACTCATGCGGAAGCGGCTTTAGATTCTCAGTGCTGTGCTTTAACCCGCTGCGCCACCAGGGAGGGCCTGACATACATTATATTTTTAATAAACCTTAACCATATACAAACATCCTCCAAAAAAACTGCATGAAACAAATAACAAATCAGACTCATAGAAAACAAAACATATCTTAAGCTGGCCTCCAAGCAATACAGAATTTTCTTTTCCCAATATCTTTTCTCCTTCCCCTACCTTCTTCCTCACTCTCACTCTTCTTCCTCCAACAATAGACAGTTCTCTACCTGCCAAAAAAGGTTCTTCCATTTTTGGATAGCTGGAATGATGTCTTAAATTGGGTAGATACCAGACAACATGTAATATCTACAGTGGTTTTTCCAGTCAGGACAACAAAGAGTAAGCTTCAATTTGTTGCCAGTTACACTCCCAGATTACTCTTATATGGCTAGCTGTCAAGCCACATGGGTATCATTTTGTCTTATGAACCTAGTTACCCACTTTACCTTCATATTAGTCACATTTTATCTTGCTGTCTTTAGTCCATAATCCTTGCCTGTCAATTGTCATGTCAAGAACAGATCTTTTGAGACAATGGTTAAAGTGAGTTGGTCATAAAATTACAGCAGGAGTATTAACAGAAATGATACTGGAAATATCCAATGACCCCAACTTTCTTTTTTTGTCAGTAGCCTATATCCTTTGTTTTGAATGTTCTTCTCTCAGATGTTCAGATGGCTGGAGTGTCATCATTCCTCTTGAGTGATACTTGTCTAATGATACGTTCTTGAAGAGGCTTACCAAACCAATCTTTATAAATCTGTATCACTTTACTGTTTTATTTCCTTTGAAGCACTTAGCACTCTCCAGGGTTTTCTATATTAATATTTGTTCATCAGTTTACACCAGTCTCTTCTCATCCCCTACAACATGGTACTAAGAACAAGCACTGGACTGGTTCAATCTCTACTCTGTCCCAGAGCCTAGAACAAACATTTATTGAATAGATGAATGCTGGGTTTATTTACACAGGTAAATATTAATAATTCAAGCCCCTTAATGTACCAGCAAACAACTATGAGACATTCAACTCTGCAGATATAATCTCCTAAACCTCCTATGTAAGAAACTACTACATGACATCTTTGGGATTATTTGCTGACATTTATAATAGTCTAGCAAGACACAGATTTATGTGAGAAGAGGCTAACAGATTTTGTAGATGATAAAATTTCAAGTAGATCTTAGAGACGTGGACTGAATAATTCAAGATATTACAAAAATGTACATTTCTAACATAGTGTTGGTTTAAAAAAAAAAGAGCAGAGTAAGGAATTTGTACCACAAACACACTGTGAAACAATGTATGTATTGAATAAATGTAACTTTTTATATTCTGAAAAACAGACAAGCAAACAACCAGTTAGCACAGCCTTCTTTATTTATATTATTTAAAACACCATTATTATGTTATAACAAAGAAGTCATTTCCTGCCATGCTAAAGCAATGCAAGGTTCAATTAAACCCCAGTTACTCATCAGGGGGATCCAAGTTTAAACATTTTGGATTTGTTTCTATTAAAGAGATGTATTATATTCTATTAAAATTCAATATACATTACAAAATCTGTGAGAAAATAGAAAAATAAAAGAACTAATAAAATTATTCTTTTCACAGCAGGACTGGGCACTCAGATAAAGCAAAATTAGTTCAGATAACAGGGCTTTAAAGCCACAGTAATTTTTCTACCCCCAAACCTCTGAAGACTTTATGCAGTGTTCTTTAACCTTCAAATTAGATGGAAAGTTCCTAATATTTTTTTCTTTTACGTTATACTGAAGTGCTGCCAAATTGTCTTTAGAAAATGGATCATGCAAACCAAGTAATGACTACTAAATTAAAATATCATCATTCTAGTAACTAGTTTGGGATACCCTTATATCCCCTGAAGGAATATATGAGATTAAAGTCAGAACAAATTCAGCCATAGGTACAATAAAAAGAGATAATGTTCGCAATAGAATATGCTGGGTCTTGATTGAACAAGGGTCTAGTTTTAGGTTATTCTGTTCATAATAGATATTAACCTGCCTCATACTTAATGCATGTATTCATAGGCATTAGGACTTGAATGATTTTGAGGACTTAAACCTGACAGAAGTCTCTTTCTCAGATGTGAAAATATTAATTTGCTCCTCTGGGTATCTGGGCTTTCTAGAACTTCCAAGCCCCCAGTACTACCCAGGTATAAAATACTTTCAGGAATACCTGTGCCTCCTGAAAGCTTAAGTACTCTAGACTATTCTAGAAGCCAGCACCACCCTGACCTAAAGAGGTAGCCCAAACCAGAAGGATTCTCAAGGATCCATGGAGCTCAGGCAACTCTAGAGTCACCTAGACAACTACCCTCTCCCTGCTTCCTCTATCACCAGCATTCCTGAAACCTCTTTCAGTACTCTTTTCTCTTCATTCTGGACTGCTCATTTATCACTGAGGTTTTTGGTCATCCTTTCTCCAGAAAGATACCACCACTAGTATAAAGGTTATATTGACAACTATGCCTATTTTTCCTCTTCTATTTATTTATTTATCTATCTTTTCACTATAATCCCTTACACCCCTTGACCTTTTCTCCCTCTTTCTTCTTAAATTCAGAAACCTAACATCATTTACTAGTATCTATTAGCTTTTGCAAATATTTTGCTTTGTTAAATCATCATTATGTAAATATCCAATATTTATCTTTGTCATTTTGATGTGCTATACTACACATAATTCCCTAAAACTCATTCCATTCAATAAATGGCAACACTCCCTCTTTTCTTAGGGCTGAATAGCATTTCATTATTTGGATTAAACCACATCTTCTTGGCCCTCCCTGGTGGCGCAGCGGGTTAAAGCACAGCACTGAGAATCTGAAGCCACTTCTGCATGAGTTCGATTCCCGCCTGCCGCCTGCCCCGGAGGAGACCACATGGCGAGCCAGACCTCTCCTGGCCCGCCCACTGCTCCCCTCAGCAGTGTACTTAGTCAATCTGCCTGTTCTGCTCCCCACTCTGTCTCTGGTGAAGCCTCTCACCGTCCCTGAGCCTCTGGCCTGTACCCCAGTTCTGTATGAATAAATAAATAAATCTTTAAAAAAAAAAAAAACCACATCTTCTTAATGCAAATCTCAGTGGTAACTTAGGTTTTCATATCCTCGCTACTATAAATAATGCTGCAGTGAACAATGTGGAATATATATTTTAGTTGAACTGTCCAAGAGTGGAATTACTGAGTCATACAGTATTTCTGTTTATATTTTTATAAAGAAAATCCAATCATTTTGCAAAGTGGCTTTCCCACCAAATACATTAAGTTTTTCTTTCTCTGCATCCTTTCCAGCACTTGTTGGCAAGTCTTTTCAATGTGTACAATTCTCGTGGCATAAGATGATATAACTCATTGTGATTTTGACCTGGCATCTTCTTTATCAAAGGCGACGGTGAACATCTCCTGGATATTTTCTTTGGTGAACTGTCTGCTCAGATCTGCTGCCCATTTATTAATTGGGTTGTTTAGGGCTTTTATTGTTAAATTGCATAAGAATTTTGTTTATATTTGATTAACTCCTGTAAGTTGTATAATGTGTACATATTTCCTTCCATTCCGTGGGATGTCTTTTTAATTGATTTATATATATTTTTCATGGTATAAAAGCATCTGAGATAATGTCAATAGTTTATTTTTATTCTGACACAAGCTATGCAACCTCTGTCGTCAGACATGGGTCAGATGGAGGGGAAATGCTCTGAAAAATCAGACTTTCCACGCTAACTTATGTTATGACTTCCCTTTTTCGTATAATTGTAATATCAAAATATTCTGAGCAACCTTCAGCTTACAATTGGATTGCCTCAACTGTTTAAGGCGCTGTCTGGCCCTGACAAGAAGCACTGCACCAGGTGAGAAATTCCTCTGAAGTCAAAAGTGACTTGACTACTGGCTGATAAATAAAAGTAAAAGGGCTGTTTCTGCAAAGTCTCTCACTGCCAGATGGAGGAAAACCCAAATCTTATCATTCTACTATCTCACCTAGACTTCTATTCACCTTCTAAAAAATTACTCAAACTTTCTACTGTCTGGCCTTTAGATGTGGAAATTCATCCAGGTTGCCTGTTTAGAGCGAATCAGGTTTTCTACCTGCTACAATTCAAAGGAATTCACACAAGTCTTCTGGCTAGTAATTCAGGATTCTAGTCTTTAGATAAGGAAATTCACCAATGTCTCCCATTCAGAGCTAATTTCTACTGTCTAGACCTCAAGGAAACTCACTTAAAACTTTTAACAAGTTTCTTCAAAGAAGTTTTCCGTAATTTGATTTGCAAGAAATTTCCTCTTCCTGCCTCCCAGGATGTCTCAGAT